CTCGGACATTAAAAACCACGCTACTCAGTGTTAACCTTTGAAAATTGGTATGGTCATTTCTTTACACTTGCACACTTGCTATCCAGTTTCATTTACCCTCTTCTAGACGCCTCTAACTTTCCAAACATATAAACTAGCGTTCCTGGACGAACTAACCAGGTGGTGGCAGCAAGACTTCCATACCAATGATCGATGGTTTTTATGAGTTTTATTAGCTTGAATCACTAGAGAATCACTACAATGGGATTCATGGGGGGCACAGGATACATAGACCGCTTCACGGTGAGGGTGATGGATACGTGGGGGGCACAGGACACATGTATCCATCACCCCCACATGACGGTGAGGGGTGATGGGATTCATGGGGGCACAGGACACATAGACCGCTTCACGGCAAGGGTTGAGGGGATTCATGGGGGGCACAGGACACATAGACCGCTTCACGTGAGGGATTCATGGGGGCATAGGACACATGTATCCATCACCCCCACCGTGAAGTGGTCTATGTGTCCTGTGCCCCCATGTATCCCATCACCGTGAAGCGGGTCTATGTGTCCTGTGCCCCCCATGAATCCCTCACCGTGAAGCGGTCTATGTGTCCTGTGCCCCCCATGAATCCCCATCACCGTGAAGCGGTCTATGTGTCCTGTGCCCCCCATGAACCCCATCACCGTGAAGCGGTCTATGTGTCCTGTGTCCCCCATGGATCCCATGACCGTGAAGCGGTCTATGTGTCCTGTGCCCTCCATGGATCCCATCACCGTGAAGCGGTCTATGTACCCTGTGCCCCCCATGAATCCCATCACCGTGAAGCGGTCCATGTATCCTGTGCTCCCCATGAATCCCATCACCGTGAAGCGGTCTATGTATCCTGTGCCCCCATGAATCCCATCACCGTGAAGCGGTCTATGTGTCCTGTGCCCCCATGAATCCCATCACCGTGAAGCGGTCTATGTGTCCTGTGCCCCCCATGAATCCATCACCGTGAAGCGGTCTATGTGTCCTGTGCCCCCCATGAATCCCATCACCGTGAAGCGGTCTATATGTCCTGTGCCCCCATGAATCCCATCACCGTGAAGCGGTCTATGTGTCCTGTGCCCCCATGAATCCCATCACCGTGAAGCGGTCTATGTGTCCTGTGCCCCCCATGAATCCCATCACCGTGAAGCGGTCTATGTGTCCTGTGCCCCCATGTATCCCATCACCGTGAAGCGGTCTATGTGTCCTGTGCCCACCATGAACCCCATCACCGTGAAGCGGTCTATGTATCCTGTGCCCCCATGAACCCCATCACCGTGAAGCGGTCTATGTGTCCTGTGCCCCCCATGAATCCCATCACCGTGAAGCGGTCTATGTGTCCTGTGCCCCCCATGAATCCCATCACCGTGAAGCGGTCTATGTGTCCTGTGCCCCCCATGTATCCCATCACCGTGAAGCGGTCTATGTGTCCTGTGCCCCCCATGAACCCCATCACCGTGAAGCGGTCTATGTTCCTGTGCCCCCCATGAACCCATCACCGTGAAGCGGTCTATGTGTCCTGTGCCCCCCATGAATCCCATCACCGTGAAGCGGTCTATGTGTCCTGTGCCCCCCATGAATCCCATCACCGTGAAGCGGTCTTTGTGTCCTGTGCCCCCCATGAATCCCATCACCGTGAAGCGGTCTATGTATCCTGTGCCCCCATGAATCCCATCACCGTGATGCGGTCTATGTGTCCTGTGCCCCCCATGAATCCCATCACCGTGAAGCGGTCTATGTGTCCTGTGCCCCCCATGTATCCATCACCGTGAAGCGGTCTATGTGTCCTGTCCCCCCATGTATCCATCACCGTGAAGCGGTCTATGTATCCTGTGCCCCCATGAATCCCATCACCGTGATGCGGTCTATGTGTCCTGTGCCCCCCATGAATCCCATCACCGTGAAGCGGTCTATGTATCCTGTGCCCCCATGAACCCATCACCGTGAAGCGGTCTATGTATCCTGTGCTCCCATGAATCCCATCACCGTGAAGCGGTCTATGTGTCCTGTGCCCCCATGAATTCCATCACCGTGAAGCGGTCTATGTGTCCTGTGCCCCCCATGTATCCCATCAGAAGCGGTCTATGTATCCTGTGCCCCATGAATCCCATCACCGTGATGCGGTCTATGTGTCCTGTGCCCCCCATGAATCCCATCACCGTGAAGCGGTCTATGTATCCTGTGCCCCCCATGAATCCCATCACCGTGAAGCGGTCTATGTATCCTGTGCTCCCCATGAATCCCATCACCGTGAAGCGGTCTATGTGTCCTGTGCCCCCCATGAATCCCATCACCGTGAAGCGGTCTATGTGTCCTGTGCCCCCCATGTATCCCATCACCGTGAAGCGGTCTATGTATCCTGTGCCCCCATGAATCCCATCACCGTGATGCGGTCTATGTGTCCTGTGCCCCCCATGAATCCCATCACCGTGAAGCGGTCTATGTGTCCTGTGCCCCCCATGAATCCCATCACCGTGAAGCGGTCTATGTGTCCTGTGCCCCCCATGAATCCCTCACCCTCACCGTGAAGCGGTCTATGTGTCCTGTGCCCCCCATGAATCCCTCACCCTCACCGTGAAGCGGTCTATGTATCCTGTGCCCCCCATGAATCCCTCACCCTCACCGTGAAGCGGTCTATGTGTCCTGTGCCCCCCATGAATCCCATCACCGTGAAGCGGTCTATGTATCCTGTGCCCCCATGAATCCCATCACCGTGAAGCGGTCTATGTGTCCTGTGCCCCCCATGGATCCCATCACCGTGAAGCGGTCTATGTGTCCTGTGCCCCCCATGAATCCCATCACCGTGAAGCGGTCTATGTGTCCTGTGCCCCCATGAATCCCATCACCGTGAAGCGGTCTATGTGTCCTGTGCCCCCCATGAATCCCATCACCGTGAAGCGGTTTATGTGTCCTGTGCCCCCCATGAATCCCATCACCGTGAAGCGGTCTATGTGTCCTGTGCCCCCATGAATCCCATCACCGTGAAGCGGTCTATGTGTCCTGTGCACCCCATGAATCCCATTACCGTGAAGCGGTCTATGTGTCCTGTGCACCCCATGAATCCCATTACCGTGAAGCGGTCTATGTGTCCTGTGCCCCCCATGAATCCCCTCAACCCTTACTATATATGACCCCATGCCCCTTGAGGCCTGCGCCCCCACACCTTCTCCTCCCTCACAATGATGGGGGGGCACAGGAAAGCATCACTGTGAGGGTGAATTGGGTGTGGGAGCACAGGTCACAATGGGGGGAGCACATACACGATCAACATTACACACAAAGCACATATCATATCAAATATACACATACATACACAAACATACCACATTCATTCACACACACATACATACATACAAACACACACATCATACAAACACACACATTCACACAGTACTAGTACTAGGCAATTGAAGTAAAGTTCCTTGCCCAAGGAAACACTGCTACCTTCCGGGAAGCGAACTCTCGAACCCGTGCGGCCGGCGCACACGAGTCCGGTGCTCTAACCACTCGGCCATCACATCGACACTGGGAGGGATTTTCAGGGGTCCTTTTATATTACACATTTCCCGCTTTTAGGGTATTTCAATGATAATTCTATTCCTAGCAGCACCAGCAATACATTATGATAATCATTTATTTGATAATAATGTAAACAAGAATATAGTGTATCCGAAGAGAAAAAAAGAAAGCAGAAAGAACAAATGAGAGAAAAGATATGGCAGAATAACAATTACGTAAACAATGTTAAACAACCTTTTTCTCTCTTTTTCTCTATCGTTTCTCTCTCTCTCTCTTCTCTCTCTCTCTCTATCTATCTATCTATCTATCTATCTATCTATCTCTCTCTCTCTCCTTTCTCTCATATAAAAAACAATAAAAATAAAGTGCATATTGCAAGGTAGACATTCATTTGTATTTCAAAATAGATAATGCTACATTTGAACAGATCTGTATCACAATCATCTAGATATGCACCTCGTACGTAAATCTTTATTTTCTAATATCGTAGCAAAATGCTAGTTTAGTTCGAAAAACAAAACCAACTGAAAAAAAAATAATGCTGGAACAATCAAAAGCATAATTTCTGGTGTCGTTTCCTATGAAAGATTCTTAAGGCTTTAATGAAGCTATTAAATCTATTATAAACTACATACTGTTACATACATACGTATATGTATGTATATATATGTATGTATTTATGTATGTATGTGTACAAGTGATGGACCTGCCCTGGAATATCTGAATTTACGTATTTATTTATATATTTTGACATTTAACGTTACTCCGCTATCTGTTTATATCGAATTCTCTTTATCATTCGTATCAGCAGAAACAAAAAGATGAAATGGATACAAAAAAGCAAAAAAGAAAAAAAAAAAAATCCTAACCTAACATAGACCTACATATGATTCCACACTTGGCATGGAACATTCTCGAACATCAACCATTCCTTCATTTCAACGAATTTAACTGACATGAAAACACCGGCATATTTAACCTAAGCATTTCTTGTATCAACATATGAACGATGAGAGAGAGAGAGAGAGAGAGAGAGAGAGAGAGAGAGAATATTATTATCATCGCTATTATTGATATCATCAAACATATCACCAGCAATCCATTATAACTATTCTTTATTTGATATTAATAATGTAAATAAGAAAATAGTGATGTATAACGAAGAGAAAAAGAGAAAGCAGAAGGAACAAATGAGAGAAAATGTATGGCAGAATAACTATATGAACAATGTAAAATAGTTTTTTCTCTTTTTCTCTATCGTTTCTCTTGTCATGGAACATTTCTCGAACATTAGCCATTCCTTCGTTTCAACGAATTTAACTGACGTAAAAATATCGGCATATTTAACCTAAGTATTTGTTGTATCAAATGAACGGTAAACTTGTACATGCATTTGTCTGTCACGTATTTTGACACAATTACAGAGAGAGAGAGAGAGAGAGAGAGAGAGAGAGAAAGAGAGAGAGGAGAGAGAGAGAGAGAGAGAGAGAAAGAAAGAAAAGAGAGAGAGAGAAAGAAAGAAAGAAAGAGAGAGAATTACTATCATCGCTATTATTGATATAAAACATATTTGAGAAGAGAGAGAGACAGAGACAGACAGAGAGAGAGAGAGACAGAGACAGACAGAGAGAGAGAGAGACAGAGACAGAGAGAGAGAGAGAGAGAATTAATTATTTTCCTCGCTATTATTGATATCGCCAAACATACGTGAAAAATAAATACACCAGAAAACAAACTGACACCTATCATAGCTATTAACAATAATGCTAAATGAACAGGAAACAAAGATGGAATCGGAGAGAATAGAAGATTAGTTAGGTTTCTGTTTCTATTGTCTCTTATTACGTATTCCTTTATCTGTTTTGTGTTTTTTTATTGTTTTTATTTTATGTGAGAGAAGAAGGGGAGGAAGAAAGAGACAGAGAAAGAAAGAAAACAAATAAGAGGGAGAAAATGCAGATAGAATTATCCCTTTCTCTTTATATTCATCCTTCTTATTGTTCTGTTACATATTTTCCCATTCTTTCTCTCTGCCTTGCTGTTCATTATACAATACTATTTTCTTTATTCTTTTCTTGTCCATCTTATTTCGTGTCTCATTTATTTATTTATTTATATTTATCTATTTATGGATTCCTTTTTCAATTTTCTTTCTTCCTTTTTGTATCTTTCCTCTTCACTGCTGTTCTCTCTCTCTCTCTCTCTCTCTCTCTCTCTCTCTCTCTCTCTCTCTCTCTCTCTCTCTCTCTCTCTCTCTCTCTCTCTCTCTCTCTCTCTCTCTCTCTCATTTGTTTCTAACTCTTTTAGTTTCTTAAAATCTCTTTCTATCCTTTGTTTTTTTCTTTCTTCCTTTGTCATTTTCTATATCTACTTTCGTTCTTTCTTCTCTCGTTTATTTTCTCTCTCCTTTTAAAGGAAATCGCATTTATATTTTCCTTGGTGTTAAGGAAATAGATATAGATAACAGAGAGAGAGAGAGAGAGAGAGAGAGAGAGAGAGAGAGAGAGAGAGAGAGAGAGAGAGAGAGAGAGAGAGAGAGAGAGAGAGAGAGAGACAACAGAGAGAGAGAGAGAGAGAGACGACAGACAGACAGACAGACAGACAGACAGACAGACAGACAGACAGACAGACAGACAGACAGACAGACAGGCAGAGAGAGAGAGACAAAGAGTGAGTGAGAAAACTAGAGAGAGAGAGATAATGATATAATAATAATATAATATAATAATAATAATGATAATAATAATAACAATAATGATAATAGTAATAATGATAATAATAATAATAATAATAATAATAATGATGATAATAATAATGATAGTGATAATGATAATGATAATAAAAATGATGATAATGATAATAATAATGATAATAATAATAATAATAATAATGACGATGATAACAATTACAACAACAATGATGATAATGATGACTATAGTAATAAAGAATAATAATGATATTGATGACCATAATAAGTATTATAGTAATAATAAGGATAGTCAATAATAATGATAACGATTAGTTGTAATGATAATAATAAAAAGATAATGACGATGCTAACAATGGTAATGATAATATTAATGAGAATGATGATTAAGATAGTAGTAAATATAAAAAATGATAATATTGATAATAATAATAATGATGATAATGAGTAAAATGATAAAAATGGTGGCAATAATAGTAATGATGATAAGTAATCAATAATAATAATAATAATAGTAATTAACGATGAGGATAATGGTAATGATACTGTAACGATAATTATGATAATGATTAATGATAATAACAGTAATAATGATGTTAATGATAATAAGTAGAAAAACAATAATGGTTATGACTTTGAGAACAATGATGATGATGATAATAATAGCAATGAGGGTTTTGATAAGGATAATAATAATAAGGATACTACTGCTACTACTGATGATAATAATAATAATAATAATAACAACAATAATATTAATAATAACAGTAGTAATGATAATAATAACAATAATAATAACAATAATAATAATAATAATAATAATAATATGATAATAATAAGGATACTACTACTACTATCACTACTACTACTACTAATAGTAATAATAATGATAATGATAATAATGATAACAATAATAATAATAATAATAATAATAATAACAATAATGATAATAACAACAATAACAATAACAATAGTAATAATAATAATAAAAGTAATAAATATAACAGTGATGATAGCAATGGTGGTGATGATGATGATAAATATAAATGATAATGAAAATGATAGTTAAAATGATGATCAAACAATTTATGCTCCCACGTGTAGATTCGAACGCGCGCTCACAGGTTCAAATTTGGCGCCTTAACCCACTAGGCCACCGTGGTCAAAAATCAATGAAAACAATCACTACACCACACAGACATAAGTAACAGTAAAATTTCACTAGAATTATATTGTAGCTTTTAGGAGAAATATTGCTCTTGTGTATAAAATGTAACATATATCTGTGTGTATGTGTGTGTACTTTCACTTAAAGAGTAAGATGTATTAAACATTAATGTATGCCAACCCTTGCACTGAATTAAGTTCAATCTTTAAAAATGAAAATGAAGTTACCAACCTTTTTAAATACCTCTTTTTTAGCTCCTTCAAAAAATTATTTTCCTAAAATATTCCGTAAAAAAATCAACCTATATTTCATCTTTTATCACAACTAAGTTTTAAGATAAAGAGCAATCCCGGAAATTATATAAAGTCCTAGCTTTTTTCCTTTCCATTTCTGTCCTTATTTTGTTGGCATGGCCGCTGCTTATCGTTATCATTATCGTTATCAATACTCTTCACAGACCTCCAAAGCGACAGTACCATTAAAATGCGTATTTCGAAATTACCAGTGAATCAAAGTTTATTTACAGGTGTTACCACTCTCGGTTGCAAGTCACAGAGAATGGTGAATATGCTGCCATGTCACCGTAACGTAAAATAATGATGAATAAAGGAAATGCCATCCCTTGTCGACATGTGTTTTTCACGTCGGATTTCAACGAAATTCATCTTTCAG